CAACAAAGCTACAATAAAATTTTTAGATTTGTATTAAAATGAGCGGTATTTGGAATATCTTCCCATTCACAATTACAGTCGTTCTCTGTGTTCCTGACGTAACAAATCACAATAATAAATTCTTTATTTCCAATCATATAAGAAGATACATTTCCTGTACGGGGTGGTTGTCCATATTTTGCAATTTGCACCCACACCTATCTCATAGAAATGTTAAATGTGGAAGTTGTACGTAATATCGGATGTGTCACAAAAGTCTGACAAAGCAAAGTTATACTTTTCCAAATGGAATACCACTTATATTATTGACCTATTTGATTAGCCTTTCAAACTTAATTCTAAAAATTCCTGATAGTCCAGGATGAAATAAGAAAAAAAAAGGGGGGAGGAGGGGAAGGGGTGGAATATTCGAATTTTTATTGAAAAAGGTAAAGTAGTAAAGTATAGAGACCAACGGCAAAAGTTTGAAATTTTTGAGGTATTATTATATCATACATATTATCCGATGAGACTAACAGGATGGGACGGGACCTACAATTTATCCTGAGGCTCTCAGAGCACTTCGGAACCACGATCATCAGTTTATACACCCCTTAGGGTCCGTTAGCGTTAGAGCCAAATACGTTAGCGTTAAAGCCAAATATCGCCTCTGTAAAGCAAAAAGGGGCCAAGCGGCAATTGAAGCGATATGTTGGAGTCGGCTCCATCAAATATAGACAAACTATATATTTTTGGAATCGGAAAATTGTGCTCTTCAAGAATATAGAATCAAATATTGGGCAAGTCATTTGAAAAGTTGAAAGTACACAGGATTTCAAATTTCTGAAAATAAATTTTCATTTCTGATGGATTCTAAAAATTCAGCTAAAACTGCACAACTTTTGTATTTACACCTATCATCTACCTGTGAAGGTAAAGGCTGCAGGTAGGGTGCAAAAATATACGGAAAAACCCTGTACCTACCTCAATGCCTTGTAGTTCTGTGCCCTGTATTTGCCTGTACCTACTTAAACAAAAATGGTAATAGTATTTATTTGCAACCATATATGTAATCTCGACATTACTGACTTTTTAAAAATTTGAAAGTGACACTTTACCTGTGTCACTTCCCTCTTCGATTTCCCTCACCGATTTCCCTATTCGACTTCCCTCACCGATTTCCCTCACTCTAATTTATTTACCTTTGCTGGCAACAATGAGAACATGTCAGGTAAAAACGTCAAAACAGGTGAATGACATATTTTGGCATCTTTGTTTTATTTTTTTAATATCAAAAAAATGGAATGACTATTCATAATTAATGGTGTGCTTGCAAATAAAATAGTATACAAACCTCGGAGGAAAGTTTTCATTTCTGTCTCGAGATTAATAGTCAATCTCGACGCTTCGCGACTCGATTGACTATATGAATCTCTCTAATGAAACACTTCCCTACTCGGTATGTAATATACTATTATTTTATTTTTCAAGGGGTAGCTGCCAAATATAAAGAAAGTTAACAATAATAACAATACTCAAATCAAGACTCAAGACCTAACCTAAGTATAACAAATCCAATTTATCCTAGAGCTGAACAACCACCAGTAAACACCCATGAACAGCAACAAAACTAGGTATTCAAGTAGAGGCCATATGAGTGTACCAGAAAGGAAACATAATATTGTTTCAGTGAATTTAGTTACATATTATAGGAGCTCACAGTCAGCCCCTCAGTTCCTTCTTAAATATTTTTTGAGTTTGAAAATAGTTTAAATCGTCTGAAAATGTCAATGCGTCAATGTCTACTGATTTAAAGTCCCTATACTTAACAGCCGTCACCCTTGAGACCAGAGCTGTTCTACAGGGTGTCCTTAGATAAACTGACACATTTTGCAGGTAAATATTTCGAAAACGGGAAAAGATAACGAGATGCGGTTTGTTCTGGGAGAATAGGGATTTTTTAAAGTTTTTTTTCACATTATTGCCGAATCCTGAAATTTGCTGAAATTTGGTTATACAGACATGCGATTTTTTGAAATAAAATGACTGCCTTATTTTTAATGAAACACCCTGTATATTTTGTCATCAACAGAAAGTCTGATTTTTCTACTTTACAAAAATGTATAGTTTTTTTCTATTATCTTGAACTTGCATCGTGAAAATTGCACTTTGTCGAAGAGAATAACATCGACTAACCAAAAAAAAAATTGAGAATTAATTTGTGTTTAATACTTTTATTAACTAATTAGCGCATTATTATTATCATTATTATTATCATTAGTGCATATAAAACACAAATTAATTATTATCATTTTTTTTTTGGCCAGTCCATGGTACACTCTGCAACAAAGTGCAATTTTTACGATTCAATTTTATGATAATAGAAATAAATTATACATTTTTGGAAAGTAGAAAAGTCGTACTTTCTGACGATGAAAAAATATACCGGGAGTTTCATCAAGAATGAGGCAGTCTGTAATTATTTCAAAAAATCGAATGTCTGAAAAACCAAATTTCAGGATTCGTTAATACCATGAAAAAAAACTTTGAAAAATCCTTGTTCTTCCAGAACAAACCGCATCCCGTTAGCTTTTCTCGTTTTCGAGATATTCACCTGTAAAATATGTCAGTTTATCTAAGGACACCCTGTAATGAATGGATTCACATTGTATGGAAAAGGATAGTGGTGGGTGGTAAGGGTCCATTGGCAGTAGAGTACTCTCTGCCTCACCAATCATGATATCCCAGTCTTGTAAAAACACTAAATCCAAAAAGCCCTTGCTAACACTTCGGACAGTGTTTAATTGAATCAGGTTGTGGTAGGAGCAAAGGTGAGAATTTACCTGAGTGGAATCAAATTCGTTTTAGGTGCATCCTGCTAAGGGGGTCGCCACTGAGGCCAATTTTTCCCTGGTCCACAGACTGTTGGGTAGGTTGAAGTCACCCAAGACACACAACCTGTAGTCTAGGTATTCCTCAGATAGTATTTCTAGATTCTCACCAAGTTCTGCATATTTTTCATAGGAACACCTGGGTGGAAAGTGAGCTGTGGCAAAGATGAATTTGCTTTGGTTGAATGGGGTAGTATACTATGTATAAAAATCAGTAAAAAATCTGCTCGACCTTATTTTATAGGCTAAATGGTGATGGTATAGTGGGATACTAAATTATTTTCCAGCATAGTGTCTATAGAATTAGTAAGAGAAAAACAAACTGTAATTTGAATTTAGCGCCACAGCGGCGACCAATAGTATTCAAGCCGCTGACCATCTGGCAACGCTGCTCAAAATGACAGCTAAATTCAACAGTTCAACGACGTGTGGTGTCGTGTGAATCGTGTGACATTGTCACAGACTTGTTTATGTTGTTTGATGTAGTAAATTTGATCTTTCATTCTTGACGGTCAATGTCAGTGCAAATTGTGTGTTCTCAAAACCGTGATGTGTTGCCAGATTGGAAAAACTAACTACGTCACGAACTTTTATTTTCATGTAGGGGCGGGGCTAAGAGGAAATTTAAAAAAGAAAATTTCAGGCTACTGCGGTTTTTACAAAGCAACTGATTACACTAAATAGTACGATACGTCGAGTATATCACTACGTAGTAATTAAAAATTACTTGTATACTACCCCATTCAATTTCAATAAATAGTTGTTCAATGCTCTTGGTAGCTGGTAAAATTTTGCTACTGATAGTTTTACTCAAGGTTTTACTGATTGCCATTAGAACCCCTCCCCCTCTTGTGAAGCCACTAGTAGTATTAGTAGATCTATCCTTGCGGTATATATTGTAGTTAAACATCTGTAGCTCCGCGCTGTTTATGTCATTTGTCAACCATCAGTCAACCATGTTTCACTAAAGACTAGAATGTCATGTTGAGAATATGATACGTTCTAAAAAGAAGTTGTAGCTTTGTGTGCAGTCCTCTTACATTCTGAAAATATATCAACAGAGATGACATGATTATTGATTTTTGATGGGAAGGCTTATTTAGTTTTTCTTTTTACCAGTTTAGGAATGCGATTAAAGTATTTTAGAATAAGGTCAGGCTCTCCATTTTGTTGTCTCTCCCTCAACTCAGTTTTAAAAGCATTTACTTCTGTGCGCTGTTCAGTTGTAAGGTCGGCCTCGAAGAATATTTTTAGGCTCCGGTTTGGTCTATATTTTTTTTGCCGCTCAGCAACCTGTGAACCATTTCAGCGGACTGATGACTCGACTGATGACCATTTTTGTTACACTTTCCGATTCTCATTGCGATTACAACAGTTACAGGAGAACCAACAAAATCCTGTGATAAGCTCTTTGCTCTGGACAAATCATCTTCTTCATTGACCTCCGGACGGTAAAACAACATCAAATTACAATACTTTTTTTGGCTTTCAGACACCTCTTGGAGGACCTTGCCATGGACAACCACCGCGCTATATCCTAGGTGTCCATTCTCCCTAGTTTGTACAGATGTGGTAGATATAGTTTATTCAATGACGTTTTAATCCCCTTTTATGTCTTCGAAAATGGTTTAAAAACTTGTGTTTATACTCTCAACCTCATCTCTTATAGCACGGATCTGTTCCTCTCATTCATCCTCAATGTGTCGCTGCAGAAATACGGAATGTTTCGTGTAGACAACACCAGACATCTGATCTCAGTGGAACTGAATCCAGCACAACCCCTGCACAAAACCTTCCCGCAAAAGTCGCAAGGGAAGCCAAACACATTTCCCACCATCTTTTTCTCCTTGAAAATACAGTTTGTAGAACACTTGTTGCATGTGCCAGACATTTTGGGGTTTGGTTTCGATATTACACAATTTTTCATACGATAATCACACGCTAGAATGATAAACCGACGTTTCACAATGCAAAGAACTATTTATGTCTGGAAAAATAAAAGAAAGGAATTTCAAAATTTGAAAAATGTAAACAACCGTTCATTTTGGGTGTAATAAATAGCATACTGCAGTGTAGTTCAATCACGATTTTTACTTTAATATGTAATTAATAATAAATTCCTATTTTCAGTTGAACAGCCAAAGCAGTCAGAAAACAGTGGAAAAATACTATTTGAGCCAAAAAATTAAGTTAACCTCTACAACATTGGAAACTATATTTGAAGAGCCTGAACAGAACTCGGTCTTCAGTACGCGAAAAATGAGGCGCTCCATTAATTTTGCCAAAACCACTTTCCCAAAAGCAGACAAAAGTAAGGTCAAGAAACGAAGTATGAAAGCCAAAAAGATATTGAAGGGTGGATTTAAGAAACTCAACAAAAAACTGGGTTTGGAAATGCTTATGAAAAAACTCAAGGAATTAGATAGTGATGATGATTGAAAATGTTATCGTTTTTAATTTATGTTCTACATACATTACATAATAGAGAATTGTTAAGTTATTGTTTTTTACAATAGAAAGTAAGTATGTAGTATTATAAAATCTAGCTAAGGTTTCTATTGAAATATTTTGTAGTATAGTTTCCTGATTTTTGAAAGTAAAAAAAATATAGGACATATCTTAAAAAAATGTTGACATCTTCGGAAATCAGTTCATGACTTATAAAAAAAAAATGCTTTTCACTTATTATTGGCGGAGTGGCGTGCCATGGAAATTTGACAGGTTGACCCTCGTATAATAATGACATTTGATGACAAAATATTTTTCAAATGTCAGGGTTATGAAACAGAAAGCCGAGTTGCCAGAATGTGTAAAATATCTGAGTAAATTCAAATAGTAAAATTATTTAATTGGAAGAGTTGTGGCGAGCTTTTATCAAACAATGTTCTGAGATTTTTCCGTCACGATATTCTTCTTTTTCCTGGTCCTCTCTATCCAAATATCTTCCCTTGCAGGATCGTATTGTAACAAAACCTTATCTTTTTGAAAGGGTTGTGAGGCATGGGAGGGTGGGTAAGATCTCGACAATTTTTACATAAGGCCATTTTTTGAGAAAGTGGTAATATACTTAACACGTTCGCGACGTCATGCGCCACCGGTGGCACATGACGGCTGATCCCAGCAACCGTCATGTACCACATGTGGTACACCATGCCCTGCAAATCTAATGCTATTTAAAAACGCGACGGCTGCATAGAAAGCTTAGAAAACAAGTTACGGCTGTACGTAAAGGTGGTACATGACCCGTGGTACATGCGGTTCTAAATCGGACATTTCTTACATTGATTTCTATGATTTTGGTCTATCTACCAAAATAACACCTATTACCAAAATTTTGGTAATAGTTTTAATATTTTTTTTTATTCAGGCAACACCCAGTATATAGTTTTACATTACTTAATTAAATTCTAACTGATAAAAACTTATGATAACATGCCTTTTACATGGTGGACACCAGTGGTACACCACGTCCCTGAGAAACAAATATTAGTCACAGCCGTCATGTACCACCGGTGGTACATTTTGAAAAATAACAAAAAATTGCAAAAAAACTCAAAACAAGTATATAACACTTGATTGAACACAAATACACTATATTCATATGTTGGACAAAAATAAAATAAAATACGGCTGTGCATTAAGACACCCGAAATCGGCTACGTCGCGAACGTGTTAAGCCTACATTTTCAGTTAGATAACCTCAACTATAGGTTACTAAAATGATGTATTAGAGAACCAATTCTGTAAAGCGTTTTCTTTAGAAATAATCTTGTATGTTGCCTTGCTTGAGTCCAATACCTCTCCATCAGAAAGGAGACATTGGAGCAAAATAGGGGAGATTTTGGACATGAGCAAAAACATGGTGCATTTAATAAAAATTGTTTATTTCAAGGTAAAGATAAAATATTATATTTCGCCAAGTAATTATTTTGAAAAATAACTAGAACAGATAAAAGATATAAATTCCTACATTCTAATTAAATTGAATGGAATTCTTGAAAATTTAAAGAATAGAAAAAAATAAAAACACGAATAAAAAAATCATCACCGCAAACCAAATTACGTCAAATCTAAATTGAAATAAATCATGTCTCTAAATCTCTTTCTTCTATCATTGATGGGAGCTGGAACTGAAGAAGTGATGTCGTAAAAAGGAACCAAAGCTTAATCATCTTTAAGAACTGTGAATCTATTTGATACGTGACGTTCTAAGAAGTTCACTTCATATCAATCAACTCTTCCTATAATTTTCGCTGCATAATTTCTGACACTACTTTTACCGTAAACTTTGTCGTTATAGAACATGTTTCTGGAAGTTCTTTTTAATCAAAATTTTTCTCGTCGTTGATGAAAATTAATCAATCTTCTGATAAATTATCTTTACATTCAATTCGATCCTCCTCCATAGTCCATATCCCTAATCACTGTCTTCGGGAGTGTCAGTGGCAATCATGCATCTACCATCTATTGCGCAGGATAGTTTTTTGATGTTGATGGTTATAGCTCTAGGTTGCCTTTTTGATGTGGATAGTTAGTTGCGGCTCTGGATATGAATAATTATTATAGATGGTGGGAGCCGGTTGATCCATTACGTGAGAGGAGGAAAAGTCTTCTTTGAAGATGTTTTGATAAAATGGCATTATTTCAGTGCATCTGGAACCTGATTTTTTTGTTTGTTGGTGCAGCGGTTCTAACACAAGCTTGTTAACATATCACAAGCAAATCCCAGAGCACCACATCCCGAAACACCTTGCATCATTCTCTTGGCGTCATAGCGTATGCGGGGAAACGGAAATGCTCAAATTGGCGACAACGCTGTTCCGCTGGAAGAGATTATTCCTACTTGCGTAATCAATTCACCTCTTTCACGAGAAGTGGCTTCTTTCCAAACATTTCAGGAACTCGTACCGTCGTTACACCAATCTACAAAAAAGAATTTAAAATAACATGAGTGGTTCAAAAAAGATTAAATTTTACCTCATCTAAATTATAAATTTGCATGAGTTCTAGAATTCGTTTGAGCATATAGCATATTCATAAACTAATCGCCTTGTTGCGTTTGGCTTCAGACCGTAAAATATAGAGGAACACTTCAGTGGATATTTCTCTTAAGCGTTTTTCATCTGCATAGAAAATACTTATGACGTTATAAAATTTGGTGTAACATAACATTTTCGAGACCTTTTTCTTGGACTTGCCTGACATAGTTCAACCCGGTTACCAACACTGGATTTCTTTACTCCATTTTTTCCATAATTTCCATTCGGTCCATAATAGTTTCTGTCTTTTTCGGTCGGCCTAAAGGTTTTTTGTTTGTATATTGTCCAGTCAAAATTCTTTGAATAGTCCTGGTTCCCACCTAAAATTTAAGGAAAATGTTGGTTGGGTAAGAAATGGCTTCACATCTACATTTAAGTTATACCTACCTCAAATATATCTGCAAGTTGGGCTTCAGTTGTTCCCTGGAGAGCCTCTGGTTTACTTTTTTTAAAAATAATCATGACATTTTAATGTTTCCCTTTTTTTTTCTTATGAAATTATTTTCGGCATCTTCAATACGAAAGAAATTTGACAATGCCGAATTTTAAAAAATGTCATTAGATTTTGCAGGTATGCAAAATAGTTGGGTACCGTTTATAATATAGCATTATTGAAAAATGCATTGAAAAATGTGTCAAATTTGATTTGCCAGATAGGCCAGAAAATTTTAATACCGCGGCACTTACGAAATTATGTAAATCACACTGAAAACTGTCTGGAATTTGACATATACTGTCATTATTATACGAGGGTCAACCTGCCAAATTTCCATGGCACGCCACTACGCCAATAATAAGTGAAAAAGGTATAGGTGTACACTACGTGTACGCTAGCACAAAGTATAAGATTTGATAGGTTTATTTATTGAAAAGTTGCATTACTTCAAAAAGGCATAGAGCAAGTTTATGCTTAGTAGATTGTTACTGGAATCAGTCTATAAAGCTCGAAAAAAACCCTCTCTATGACCTCCAAGAGTGCATCCCAAGTATTTCCCCAGTAGAGCGCCACGATGTCACAAAAACTAATGAGCTTGGCCAGATAGAAACAAAAACGAAAACCTCTCTAATCCTAGTAACTTTAGTATAGATAGGAGCAAAACCAGATATGATAAACAACTTTATCCAAATCTATTCTGCCTAATGACTCTAAAGTGTTTGAGAGGGTTATTTATTCGAGAGTGTTGAATCATCTGGTTAGACATAACATATTGAGCAAGCAACAATTTCGATTTATTCCTAAAATGTCCACTGATATGGCACTTTTCCATGCAATAATAGTTATTTATGTATCAAGGGTACTAAGTAGATGATTATGCCCTGAGGGCGACAGTCTTACAAAGCCGAGGGCCTCTGGCCCGAGGGTTCGTAAGTCGCCCGAGGGTATATATCTATTATTACCCATGGTGCATACAAACTTTTATGTCATGCCAGTTGGTTGTGAATAATAAATACCTGGGAAAAAAGTGTCACTTCGCAAATTGTCACCAGTGTGCAAACATCATCATTTTTTGACAAAAATAATATGTTTATAAGTGTAAATTTATATTTTGTTAATAAAGAATAAGGTAATTGAAAATTGTTTTTTGCGTCGCGGGCCATAATGTGTGACCGTGCGGGCATAAAGTAATGAATTATGTAGATGGTATCTAAGGTATAAAAACACAGTAATGTATTGGTATGACATAATAGTTATTTATGTATCAAGGGTACTAAGTAGATGATTATGCCCTGAGGGCGACAGTCTTACAAAGCCGAGGGCCTCTGGCCCGAGGGTTCGTAAGTCGCCCGAGGGTATATTTATCTATTAGTACCCGTGGTGCATACAAACTTTTATGTCATACCAGTTGGTTGTGAATAATAAATACCTGTAAAAAAAGTGTCACTTCGCAAATTGTCATCAGTGTGCAAACATCATCATTTTTTGACAAAAATAATATGTTTATAAGCGTAAATTTATATTTTGTTAATAAAGAATAAGTTAATTGAAAACTGTTTTTTTGCGCCTTTATGCCCGCGCGGGCCATAATGTGTACCTACTTTATGCCCGCACGGGCATAAAGTAATGCATTATGTAGATGGTATCTAAGGTATAAAAACACAATAATGTATTGGTATGACATAATAGTTATTTATGTATCAAGGGTACTAAATAGAGGATTATGCCCTGAGGGCGACAGTCTTATAAAGCCGAGGGCCTCTGGCCCGAGGGTTCGTAAGTCGCCCGAGGGTATATATCTATTAGTACCCGTGGTGCATACAAACTTTTATGTCATACCAGTTGGTTTTGAATAATAAATATATATTTTTGTAAATAAAGAATAAGTTAATCGAAAACTGTTTTTTGCGTCTTATTGCCGGGCGGGCCATAATGTGCACTTTATGCCCGCACGGGCATAAAGTAATGAATTACGTAGATGGTATCTAAGGTATAAAAACACAATAATGTACTGGTATGACATAATAGTATATTATATACCTAGGTAGAGAAGTTGGTCATTATATACCGAGCGCTTTTATAATGTGTAAGGTATATAATGACTTTCTCTACCGAGGAATATATAGAATTTTTTTTACCACTAGTAGAAAATAAAAAAAATATTCAAAATCTGTGCTCTTAATTATTTTTTTGAACGCCCTTTTGAAAGTGCTGCCCTCTAACAACAGCTTATGATAACTTCCTATATGTACCTACAGGAACCTGTATTTTTTTTGAATTGACCTATGAAATTGAAATTGGACCAATAGAAACATGACAATATCCTTGCTTCATGACGTCATTTTCATTATTGACCTAGGTATTTTTTCATTATTTTCATTATTAACCTAGGGAGAGAAATTCAATTTTTTCCTAAAAAAATAGATTGAATAATGACTATTTCTCAGGTTAGTAGTAAAAAAAATATATAACTTATCAACTGGATAAAAACTCCAAGGTTGCAGGTCTCTACTTCGATTTGTCTAAAGCCGGTCCCAGACACTACGTGTATTCGGCGAATAAGCGAAGATTCGTTATTCGCACGAATATTTGCCTAGTCTCCCACACGGCGTTGTGGTATGGCGAAGCTTTGGCTTGACAATTGTTCGGCGAAGTTTCCAAGCAGATGGCCGTCGATTTTCAGTGGCGTTTCATGTATGACGTTTATCTAGTTCAAATGGACATTGATGAAGAGCAGATTGTTGCCGCCGCTACTTCTGTCATTTTCGGCAGATCTAAGCTGTTTTCTCGCGTTCACTTTTTTGAAACTGGTTCAAAACAGGTTTGAAATAGTATATCTCGCGATGAACCCATGATTTCACACAAAATTGGTTCAAACCGCTTCGAAATATAATCCAATCTACGTTTTCAAATCATTTTCTCGCGCAAAAGAAGTTATGACGTCATTGTGAAACCAGTTTTAAAAAATGTTTCAAAACTTTGAGACGCCAGAAAACACCTTTGGTATCTTTGGGTTCCAAATGACAGGTTCATTTTCAAATAATTGTAAAAATTCTAACGTTAATTCATTGGTCCACTCCATTTCTTATTTTAATTAAAAATAACTAGAAATGCAAAAATCAACCTTGCGGCACTGCACACCGCTATAAACTGACAAAACACTATGCATATACCTCCGAAGCGTCTGGGAGCAGTGCAAAGTCACGCGTAGTGGACTTCGCGTCACTTCGCCTTCCTTTGCTTCGTGCCAGTTTACCGACAATCGGCGGGAAAATGACGAAGGACGAATATTCGCCAAAGTTACCCCCCCACACGCTACGCGAATAAACCCGAATACGGAATGTTCGCCGAATACACGTAGTGTCTGGGACCGGCTTAAGGCATTCGATACGGTTGACCATTATCTGATGCTGTGCATACTGAACCATTATGGTGTTAGAGGCGCTGCAGCGGATCTGCTGAAGTCTTATTTGTTGAGCAGGAAGCAGGCTGTTTGTGTTGTCAGGGATGGTGTTCAGTCTTTTTCTGGAATGGCCAGTTTAAGGCAGGGTGTCCCGCAGGGTTCCATCTTGGGTCCCATGTTGTTCTTGTTGTATGTTAATGAATTGGCTGAGGGGTTTCTGTCTGAGGTCATCTGTCAGTTCGCCGATGACACCTCTGTTGTGGTAGCTTGATCTAATAATGGCGACCTCTCCCAGAGTTGTTCGAATGCCGCGCTGAGAATCAAAGAGTGGTGTATTGGGAAGAACCTGAGTTTGAACACCAACAAAACAGGTTTAATAGTTTTTTCCAAGACTCAAAATAACTTGGAGTCTCTTCTTGTTCGAATGGAAGGAAGGACTGTTCCGCTCACTGATCACATAAAGTTTCTGGGAGTCCATATTGACCCTGATCTGAATTGGGCAGTTCATATTGATTCGCTTCAGTTGAGGTTGAGTAGGTTGTGTGGTCTCCTGAGACGATTGAGACTGGTCATTTCACCCGAGCTGGTTAGGCTATTCTACTTTGGTCAAATGCAATCAATCATTAGTTATGGAATATGCTTTTGGGGCGCATCAAAAGGGGCATCGCTCGTTTTCAGACTTCAGAAGCGGATCCTGAGATGTATCCTGGGCCTACATCATAGAGCCTCTTACTGAGTTGGGGGTGCTGACTGTTCCATCACTGTACTTTGCATCCTTGGTGATGTTTGTGAAGCGGAATATTCACATGTTTCCTACCAATCAGGCATATTATGGAGTTGATATGATTATGTCGACCAGAAACAGGGGTGACTTGAGTATTCCTCTCCACTGCTCAACATTTTTTGAAAAGGGCTCTTACTTCATGGGCATTAAGGCTTATAGAATGTTGCCAGACAACATAAAAGTAATTGAAAGGTTATACCTTCAAACATATTGATTGTCTGTATCGATAATAGCTGCTTGGATCAGCCTTGTGACGTTGCTTGTATTATTTTTATACAGCTTTTGTTGGCAATAAAGAATATTATTATTATTATTATTATTTCTCAACATCACACAGTTGGTTGCTTATTGCTTATTATTATTATTATTATTATTATTATTATATGTATACTCTGGTTTTAGTGAGAATCAGGTTGTGACAGGACTATTTAGTCAATTTTACTGCAAAAAAAGTACTGATGCAGAAATATTAGTTTTAAAAACATTACCTGCATTTCAATTAATAGATCGAGATAGATTGACTTCCCTTTAGAAAAAAAAAAGAATGTTGGTATCAACCAAAGTTGTTTAAAAGAGGGAGGTTGCTTGATAACTTTTATGATGTCATCTAGTCATCTGTATGCCTGAACATAATGCAAATCTCCATAAGGCGTCCCAGATGCGTCATCAAGTTACCCAGACAACCTGTTAACTTTAGGAACCTTGGGTATCAACGTTCATCACTTTTAGTTTGATATGAAAATTATATAAATAATGTAAGTATTCATATAGTAATAATAATAATAATAATAATAATAATAAATCGTTTATTTTGCAAATACAGGCTTTACAAAGATGGGTTTTTTAATTGATTTTTTACAATTTCTAAGAAATTGGTTGACCACAATGTCAATTTGTAAAGTCTGTTTTTTTTTTAAAGATAATTCCCCAAGTCAAAAATTTAGTAACTATGTTGTAAATACAAGCCTTTTTTACATAAAAAATTTGAAAGCGTTGACAATTTTATACTGTATTGCCAACATAATCTGTGGCCAACATATTGTCATTTTGACTTTTATCTACAAAAAAAAAAACAGGCCATTATCTATTCACAATCCGATGTCCAAAGGTAAAGGTAAAATTGATCACCTTTCAGTGCTATTTAATAGGGAAAGGTGATAAGTTTACCTTTACGGATTGTGAATAGGATATACTCAAGCATACAAAAATATACATCACTAAAAACTTGGAAGCAAATATGGTGGTAATGAGAGACAAAGAAGAAAAAAGAAAGAAAGAAAAGAAAAGAAAAATCTTAAAGTACAGCAAAATCACCATTAAGAGTTTTGGTTACTATACCGGGTGGTCCTCCGGGAATGACATCGATTGCTTATGGGAAAACTGTGAAAGGTAAAAATTTGAAAATTTGGCAACATAGCAATGTCGATGGGGGACATCCAGGTAAAATATTTTCAAGATGGCGGCATTTCCGGTCATACCGGAAGTTGATACCAACTCGGTTATTTTAAATAGAACACCCCATATATTAATGTATTTTTGGATTCTACATAAAATTCTGAGCAGATTTCATGTAATATACCCTATACCTAAGTTCAACTGTTTTGGAAATATTGACAGTTGAAAATTGACTTTTTGCAACTTTGACAAGCTGTAAAACCTAATTGGTTAATTTTAGAGGAAAACCGATTTCACATTCCTATCTTAGATTTTGATAAACTATCATTTGACACCAACTTTGAACTTAAACGGAGATTAAATTTAACTGAAATTTTTAATCATGGATTTAATTCAAAGTTGATGTCAAATGATAGTTTATAAAAATCTAAGATAGGAATGTGAAATCGGTTTTCCTCTAAAATTAACCAATTAGGTTTTACAGCTTGTCAAAGTTGCAAAAAGTCAATTTTCAACTGTCAATATTTCCAAAACAGTTGAACTTAGGTATAGGGTATATTACATGAAATCTGCTCAGAATTTTATGTAGAATCCAAAAATACATTAATATATGGGGTGTTCTATTTAAAATAACCGAGTTGGTATCAACTTCCGGTATGACCGGAAATGCCGCCATCTTGAAAATATTTTACCTAGATGTCCCCCATCGACATTGCTATGTTGCCAAATTTTCAAATTTTTACCTTTCACAGTTTTCCCATAAGCAATCGATGTCATTCCCGAAGGACCACCCTGTATATGGTTTCTAAAAACTGGTAAATTTAAAGCCTTGATATCCGCTTCTGGTTATTTATTGGAAATGTTTGCTGCTTTGTAGGAAATACTGTTTTTAAAAGTTCGGAACTAGAAGGGGATTGTTAAAGAAGCTGGTGCATGTCTAAACTCTCTAGCATGGGCCATATTTCGGAATTCCATATTTTCATACAAATAGCAGAGATGCACCCATATACAGGGTGAGTTCGAAATAAGTGCGCATTTTGTTATGATAGAGACAGTAGGACAATCACTTTTTGCATAAGCTACATACATGTTTGCAAAAACCCCGTTAAGAAAATACAGTGTTGAAATTTTCAGAAAATTTTGACTTTTTGCATTTAAACTCTATTTTTTCCCAAGATAGATTTTGACATTCGCAACTTTGAAAGATAAACAATGCCGCTTATTGGTCGCAAGATGCCATTTGCGCGACATACATTATGAAACTGATTCCAACTTGTGGGAACACCTCATTTTGCGACCACTCAGGGCCAAGCGGTATTGTTTATGTTTCAAAGTTTTCAATATCAAAATCCATCTTGGGAAAAAATACACCATATTTTTTTTTCATAGATTCAAAATGCGTTTAGCGATTTTGTTAAAAATTTCCAGAGTGTTTGCGATGTTCTCAAACATCTTTCTAAAAAATCCGTTGGATTTCCACTTTTCCAGGACTGGACCTAGAGCGACTCTTACGGCGATTTCCATTTGTCAATCAGGGCGCACTGAGTGTACCCGCATCTTTTTCT